ATAAAGTGATAATTAAAAAAAGTTGAATTAACTGATGCAAAACTTAATCACATATTGTCGTTAATCTTTTTTTTATTACAAAGTAATTAAAATTTTACTGATACCCTTTTTTTAATTATATTTAAGAACCTCAATTAGTCGATTACTTATTATTACTGTTACTTATATTGCTGCAGTTATTTTTATCACTATTTTTAATTATGACTATTGATATGGTCTAGCAATATTATAACTTTTATCAGCTATAACAAACTGCTAAGTGAAAGCATTTTAGCTATGCATAATTTTAAAAAAAATTCTTTCCATCGTTGCTAATTCATTTCTTTTATAGGAAAACACTTAAGAAATCAGTAAATTTCACGTATTTTTAATATAAAACTAAAAAATATTTGCGTGTTTTATAACTTTTACTTTAATTACAAAAAGTATAAAATATTACGTTGTAAAAAATAAAATTTATTTAACATTTACTACTTAATATAGACAATTTTGCACTTACTTTAACTGTTATTGCATAAAATTAACTAATATTATTTCACACTGACTGACAAGTAATATCAAAATTATTAAGTAAAAAAAAAAAGTTTTTTTATAAACTTTTATTATTTATACTTAGTTTGGCACGCGAGAAAAGTAAATAAGAAGTAAGCTCAGGAAAGTATTAAATTGAAGCGGAGATTAGCTAGAAAATCAGCATGGATTTCACGCATTAATTCTAGCATCAAACTATTCCTCAATTTCAACCTTGCTATTTATTATTTACAAATATTTTTTGCATTTGATCAATCAAAATAATAATAATAATAATAAAGCAAGTTAATCTATTCAAAAATCAATAAATCAATAATGATCAAGGATACTTAATCAAAATTTGAATACACTGATATAGCATTAATAATTTCAAAGGAATTATATCAACGAAAAAAAAACTGGCTAAAATTTGTTTTAGCAACTGGGATTTTATGCTGAATAATTTTTTCAATTTACTGGAAAGTAAAAAATGAGCAAAAAGAAAGTAACCAGCAAGTCTATGACTCTCGGTATTGATCAAATTGCTAGGTTGGCCGCAGAAGAAGCAAAAAAAGAGCAAGGTAGAATCGATGGTACATTTGGGCTTGCAACAGGTCGAAGACCCCCGCTCACCGCGGCATCCAAGGAAAGGGTTATTATTTTTATTCATTGCAAACTGTTTATCTATTTTATCGATTCAATTGTTATCTTATAATCACTAAATATTTTATTATTTTTGCTTGCTAAATAATCTTTAAAAACAATTTTAATACTTATATATGTAAATATTTCAATAATATTTTGTGTATTTAACAACAATTTGAGAGAAAAAACAGAGAAGTTAAAATTTAAATTTTAAAATTAATATTTTATTTAAAAGTTACAAAAATCAATACTGTTATTTTTTGATTACTTTGATGAGTAAGATTATATGGAAGTAGAAAAAATGAATGAGATGTAATGTGATAACTTAGACAATTTAGCATTCATTGCTGCGTATAATATTTTTTTCTGCCAAATTTAATACTTTTTGTTGTTTATTTTGTTATTTTCAAACTGTGTTTGTAATGCTAAAAATTATTAGATTTTTTAGATAAAAAAAGGAACAAAATTTTTTATTTCATTTTTTTTAAAATTTTTATTTATTTTTTTATTTTTTATTGCTTGAATCAATAATATTTTTAGTAGCAAAAAGTAATTAGCCATCAATATGCATTATTAGAACTAAACCTCTGAGTATTAATACTTAATTGACAACATAGATTTATAGCGTTCATGGAAAAAGCCAGAAATAATGCAATTTTTAAATGAAAAAGTAATATGGCGGCAGATCATACTGATTAAATTAACTTTTATCACTAATATTGATAATTGTATGAGTAAAGTAGAGAGTTGATTATATTCGAGAATAATCAGCAAATATTACATTTTTTTATTTCTAAATGTTATCGTATTTTTTAAATTAATTCAGTTTTTAAAGTAAATTACAAGAAAATAATTCAAATAATCAAGTAAATACCTTCTAAAAATACATTTAAATACGATTTATTCAAAAAATTGTGAAGCTGATTGCTAACACAATATCATAATACTAGAATTACACATTTTCAGTATATTTTTTGGAGGGATAATTTTTAAAAATTATTCCACTTTTTTCATCTTTATAATTATTATATTAATTTAAATTGTTTTTCAAATGGTTATCACAAAAGGTGGAAAATATAATTTTTATTATCAAAGATTTTGTAAAGTTTTACAACTTATTTTAGTATATTATAGTGTTAAGAAGTATTTTTATGCCCTCTAAAATCACTTTAGTATCAAAATTTTTGAAAAATGAAACAACCAAAAAATTGCTCAATTTTAAATATAAATGTTTAAATGTCCCGCTTAATTTATGGTAATTTTACTTGTATTATAATTTTTGATTCGCTAAAGATCTCGTCTAAAATTAGTTTTGACTTATTTTATTAGATTAATTTGATTTATTTTCGAAATATGATACTTGGTAAACTGTATTTGCTGACTGGTACCAAAGTTTTGGTCTGAACTACCTTGAGTACGTTAAATTTTTCGATGGCTGGTATCAAAAGTAATATGCTAAACAGCAATTTGATGTTCAAAAAAAACCTCGGTGGAAAAACAGTTTGCCTAAAGTTTAATATTCAAAAAAAATTCACAATCTTTAAATTCATATTTACCAAATTGCTAAAGTTTGTAATGTTCAATTTAAATAAGTATTGATTTTTAAGAGGAAAAATATTACAAATACTGAATTCAATCCTGAAAACATTTGTATTATTTATTAAGTTAATAATTGTAGTATTTAGTTAAATAAACAGCTAAATATTTGTTTGCAAAAATAATTGTTCACGTGATTATTTCGAGTAAAATTATCAAGTTTAACTATTATAAATGATAAAACAACGAATGACGAGCGAACTATCCTTGCTAGCTAATTTTAGAATATTGCAATTAATTAGTTACAAAGTTTAGTCTAATTGCAGCTGTAATTTTTCAGCTTTAATTTTGTATTTTAAAATTGTTTGCAAAAAAATAATAACATATTATAAAAATAAAATTTTAGATTGAATCAAGTTTTAAATTGTATTTTGTTTCAATTACTATTTTTCATATTTAATACTTATGATAATCACAAATGACAATAATTTACAGGGTCCAACATCTTTGTTCATCTTCAACGAAGATAAT